TAGAATTAGTCTAATCCTCTCGTATATAGATATCAGATATCAGATGATGGTTGGAATAACGTCAGTACTCTACAGGCTCCATATCCTGGTATGGTATGTATTACGGGGCAGCTTCAGCACGTAGAGTAGAAGGACTTTTCGAAGTGTTGGTGAAAGAAAGAGTGAAAATTAATGAGCAGTTAAAGGAAAACTAAGCTAGAAACTTTATACTGCTGCCTAAAACATAGTACAGGTTGGCCATTGGCAACCTTTTCAGAAAGGCAAGTTGCCCTTATTATAATGCATATTTTGCTTTAAATGAGTCGTGAGTTAGAGACGAGTCTAACTTCAACAGTAGGCAACTAACAGCTACATGTAGCAGTGATTTGCGTATCCGACCATTGGAACACTCGTTTTCTGGTTAAATCGAGTGCTGTTTGCCAGAGTGATCGTCCAAACGGAGTATACTGAGATCGAAACGCGACAGCTAAATGTCCTTTTCGACTCCTCATAGCTTCTCTGACTAACAGAAGAATCTATACAACCACGGAAGGGTCTTCTTGGGAAGATGTCTCTGCAACAACATCGTTCATTTATCTCTCCTGCGGTCCACACCTCGAACCAAAAGCCTCCTTGGGGTGGGTCACAAGTGGCTAGATTATCGTATATATCGAACGCTGGGCTATCATCATCGCGACCATGGCGAAGGTACTCGGAAGTGATGTAGTCGCTACTTACTGTCAACTTGCGTGTTTTGTGACAGAGGTAAGCCACTGCCATTGGAGCGTCCAGTGGAGACCTTGGTAAGGTGGGGTGAAGTGGCTAGGACTTGACAGAATGACGTAACCGCGTATTCGATGCCACTAAGTTGCATAAAGGCGACTTCGGTTTTTCAGATTCGAGTGGAGTGGGTAGCCGAAGTTTCCAAGACGGATTGATTGACCCGAACGAGCCATCTAGACCCAAAACGGATCAATTCGGCTTAATCACTTGAGTTGCCTAGACATCACATAAAGTACGACGTCGAATGAATGGCGCAGCTTGGTGCCATGTGTTTATCGATTTCGGACTAGATTGATTTTTGTGCAGAACTGGCCAGTATCGGCAATTTTTTTTTTTTACCGGAATTTACAAAAGTGCTAAACGTCTCCGAAGCCTAAAGCAAGATGTATAATTATTTCAGTAACTGGGTCACCACCAGTAAATTATTTGTATTTTACTTGTTATTATTTTTATCGTATTTACTGGTACGTTGCTCACATATCTAGTAATAGTAGTAAAGTGGCCTTCTACAGACGATCCCCTCGGTAGTCATTGCGTTGGGTGCCGCCAATTTATTCCTGTCTAGGGTATTCCTATCCATGCATGTACCACAAAATTGGATCCGAGTACCTTTAGCTTGGAACACTGCACAAAAACTACTAATGGAGATTGATGTAGCTCATCACTGGCGATTTACCCTGGTTTGCTCTTCTGTTGCCAGTTTTGCCTCGCCTCACCAAGACACCCTCCTCTCTAGCCCTACCTGTCCACCTCGCACTCACCAACACTCAATGACAGCTGTACAAATATGCTAGCACCATGCTCACATCCCTACTTTGTCCCAAACAGAGCTAGATTCATGGGCTCACAGAATCTATGGTCTTCATCTGGTCCATCACAAACAACGATATGGAAGCTATTGATGCGCAGAAAGCTCTGGATTCACTTCCGGTCTCAGTTGGCCATAAAGCTACGGCACGCGGTGCGCCATCATATACTCGACTAGTTCCTTACCAGTTGGGTTTCCTGGTGTAAAGAGAAGGGTGTCACCGTCACGGATAAGGCAATTAGACTGTAGCGCTTCTCCGTGATCCAAAAGCTCGAGTAACGTCCAAAGTAGTCAAAGAATAGGCTTCATCGGTTCAACATTCGGATCGGACGTGGTAGCAATAATGCTCTTGTGCAGTTATGACTGTCCTCATAGTTAAGCACACAGAATAGGAGTAGTTGGCTTCACATGCTTTCCATTTTACAACTGAGTGGTGCGAGAGAATAATATCTTGGGTTTGTATGCACCTGGTCAATGGGAACCACTAATTTATTGCTGTTGACGGGGTATTCCAAGCCTATGCATTACTACCGAGGGGATCGTCTGTATTTGATTTTTGTGTTTTCACTACGCGACTTGACGTAGTTCTTCTGTTCTATCACACTTCTGGGTTGGTCTTGTATTAATAACTTAACCGCTTCAAGAAGGCCCGAAGGAGGCTGTATAGTATCCAGCCTCCTTCAGGACAACTTATACAGTATACTGGTGCTGTCCTCTGAATGAGTATATCTCCATTGAATTGTTGCTCGCATACGTTGCTCACATACGTGCGACGACGACGGTTGGAATGAGGTTAAACATTTGAATGTTATTCTCTGGATATTTATATCCAGAGTTCTTACCATCATTAGTGCATTGCTCATTTCAGTTCTGTAGGTGCCTAGCTCGATCAACCTCTAGCTACTAAGAGCTTTTAAAGAGCGAGAAAATTGCGTCGAGTAAATGAGATTATTAATAGGAGCTCAAGTGAATCAACATTGTCAAGCAGGGATTGCTGAAGATGTTGCTATCAGTACTTCGAACGCGATACATTAGCTTTTAGTGAAAGCTTTTATGAATGCCTTTCACTACTAAACACAACCACAATATTTAGCGCCAAACGTACTCGTGCCTCACCAGCGTGAGTTTGGAAAATGGTCGATACACTCACAAATATATTGTGGGAATGAAGGGAACGCTCCCATTATACGGAAACACAATTCTGTCGGCAACACCCAGAGCTTCCCGGGCAGCGCACGCCCTTAGTTTGTAATTTCAGGTTAGTTAATAGCATACTCATTGGACCCCGCTTGTTTTTGGTGTGTTTAGTACTAGTAGCAATGTTTTGTACTATACTAAACAGTGGCTAGAGTTGAAGATGAGTCCGTATGTTTATTGTACCGATGTTA